GTAGCTCTCTTTTTTTCTCTCTCTCTCTCTCTCTCTCTCTCTCTCTCTCTCTCTCTCTCTCTCTCTCTCTCTTCTACGAAGGAAGAGAAGCAGGAGGAGATACCTGGGCCTTACCTTGCTGACGATTCGTTTTGTCAACACTCCATCTTGTGCCACGGCCGCTTCGTCTGAGAGCGGGCGGACGAGGGGCACAAGAGCCCCCAAAAAAACACAGTGAGCGAACTGAGGAGAAGAAGGGGAGGAAACCGAGCAGGAGGAGCAGGCCCGAGTCGACCCCATGCGGGTCATAACTCGAGCCTCCGGCGGTCGGTCGGGACGATTCGGGCGAGGATGGGTCGGAAATCATTTTTGACAGGTGTTACTGTTCGGGAATACTCAACAAGAGGTCGTGATGCGGTCGTTACTTCTGAAAAGTGTTCACAACTGATTACCGAATTCAATGCACACGCTGGACGGAAAGGGGGAGAGTCTTCAGTACTCCGGAACGAACAAGAACTTCACGATTTGGGAATCTTAGATACATACTTGCTGTTCCGGAATAAAAAGCAGGGGGTCGCTACGCTTGCATACTGAATCAGAATTTGCTGTTGGATCCGAGCCACTCGCCAGACGGAAGGGGAAGAAAATCATCATTATTCCGGAATGATCAGAATCGCTAGTTCCTCGGGCATGACAACAGAGGTGCATCATTCCTCAGGAGTAATGGGCAGGGATCTGCAATTCCCAAGGAATAATTGGGTCCGCTATTCCTGATTAGTTCCCAGCCAGTGTCCGTCATTCCCGAAGAAGAATGGAAAGGGCTCCATTACTCCCTTGGGAATACTGGACAGGGGTGCGTACTTCCTGAAGAATTACCCACAAGGGTTCACTACGTTTCTAAGCCGTGGTCGCCGACCAGAACCTAATTTTCCTTCGAATAATGGACAAGGGTCAATCCGCTACCTTGTCTTCGGGCACGGAATGGGCGTGTCCTCAGGTCCCTTATTGTTATTCTCAGTCCTCTGGACTCGCGATTATCTGGGGACCCGGACCCCAAGATGCCAAATAACTGGTGGTCCAGGTCCGCTTGTCCAATGTCTTGTTCGGGCTCTAGAAAGCCCCAGACGGGCCAAGACGACCCGAAGACGGTCCGAGAGGGCTGCGAATCGCCGAACGATCGGTCCAAGACGCCCCAGATAGCCTCCAGATGGCCCAAGGCCTCCAAGACGCCCTGAAAGGCCTCCAACAGGCCCCCCAAGCAGCCCCCACGAGGCAAAAATCATAGATGTTCCGTAAGTTCTGTCGGACTTTAGCGTTCTCGCCGTTTCGGCTTCCCTACGCTCCAAGACGGCCCACACGAGGCGCCCAAGATCGCCCCAAAACTGCCCAAGAGGCTTCAAATAGGCCCCAAAAATTCCCCAAGAGGGAACCAAGACAGCTCAAGAGGCCTCCAAGGCAGCCCAAAAGGCGCCCCCTAGAGGAGGCCCAGACGGGGGACCCAAACGGGCATTTCGAGCCCTCGGCCCCCAGAGGCCCCCAGGAGGCCCCAAGAGGCCCCCAAGAGGTCCCCAGAGGCCCCCAAGAGGCCCCCAGGAAGCCCCCAGAGGCCCCCACGAGGCTCTCAAGGGGCTCCCAAGAGGCCCCCACGAGGCCCCAAAACTGCCCCCGAGAGCGTTCCGAAGAGACCAGAAGAAGCACCCCTGAGAACTCTGACCCAATCCAACAAGCACGGTGGCTGGATGAGCCGAAGGCCGTATAGATCCGCCGCCCCCTGCTTGCAGGGGTGCACGGCGTGCTGGATGTTTCAGGTTTTGGTTTTGGTTCTTTTTCTAAAAGAACTCCCCAGTGGGCTTCGGCCCGTCCCGCCGGCCACCCGTAATTTTCCCAAAATCCGTCTGTCAATGCCTTTGTTGCCCCAACTTGGCCCAAGATGGCCTCCAAGACGGCCAAGATGGCCCAAGATGGCCTCCAAGATGCCTCCCAGACGGCCAAGATGGCCTCCAAGACGGGTAAGATGGCTCCAAGATGCCTCCAAGACGGCCCAAGATGCCCTCCAAGACGGCCAAGATGGCCCCAAGATGCCTCCAAGATGGCCCAAGAGGCCTCCAAGACGTTCTCCAGGAGAGCCCGAAGAGGCCAAAATCATTGGTTTTCCTTAGGTGTTTGAAGGTTTTTTGCGTTTTCTTCTTTTCGGCCTTCCGACGGCCCAAGAGGCCCCCAAGATCGCCCAAGAGGCCTCCAAGAAGGCCCTATGACGGCCCAAGGGCCCCCCAAGACGGCCCCAAGAGCGCCCCAAGACGGCCCAAGAGGCCTCCAAGACGCCCAACATGGCCTCCAAGACGGCCCTGAAGCGCCCCAAGAGGGCCCCAAGACGGCCCAGAGAGGCCCCCAAGACGGCTCCAGACGGCGTCAGACGGACCAGGAACGCCCTAAGACGGCCAAAGAGACCCCCAGGAAGCCCCCAAAGGCCCCCAAGAGGCCCAAGGAGGCCCCCAAGATGCCTCCAAGAGGCCTCGAAGAGGCCCCCAAGAAGCCCCCAACAGACCCCAAGGGTGCCCCAAGAGACTCCTAACAACCCTCATCCTCCTACTCTATTTCTTCCTCTTCCTCTTCCTGTTCATAATCATTCTCTCCCATGTGTTCCCCGAAAGCTTTCCAAACCGACTCGGGGAACTCATGGTCCGATAGCTTGGCCAAGCTCTAGTCCAACTTTCGGCCACATCGGCGTTTCCAAAAAGGCAGGGGGCGGCGGTGATTCGCCGTAGGCGTCTTCGATATAGCGGACAAGGGTCCACTACTCCTTGGGAATAACGGAGAGGAGTTTGTTATTCCTATGGAATTACCGACCAGGGCCATTACTCTAGAATGTCGAACGTTGTCGAACGTTCTGGGCTGACCAACCCTAGACGTTGAATCAGTTGACATCGTTGTGCTTGCATGATGGACCAGAACTAGATGCTGGATCCGAGACACAGGCTGGACGGGAGGGTGGGAGAATCATCATCGTTCTGGAGCGACCAACAGGGGTTACACTTGAATCGCGGATAAGTGTTCATTACTCTGGAGTGCTGAACAGCGTTCCCTCATTCCCTCAGAAGAGGGGGCAGGGGGCCCTAATTTTCAAAGACTTACTTACCCAAGTCCATCATTCCAAAAACTTGAACCGTTGACTGACTAGAACGACTTACTCCTCAAGATTAAGGAACAAAGGTCCGTCATGCATGAAGAATCATGGGGACGGGACCTTCATCCCCTGGGATTAATGGATCGGGATCCACATTCTTGCGGAATTACCGGCTGGGGTCCGCCATTCCCGGAAAATAAAGGACAGGGGTTGTTCCAGTCTCTTGGAATCCTGAGCAGGGGATCATTAGTTCTCAAGAATTACCTACCGGGACTCGTTATTCTGAATGTTGAAACCGTTGTCATCGACCCGAATATATTTCTCGAAGAGAACAATTTGCAGAGGTCCTTGATTCGTAAGGTATATTCGACAGGGGTACGTTATGCCCTGGGAAGAATGCGCAGGGGTTTGTTGTTCCGAAGAAGATACCGACTGGGGTCCGCTACGCTGGAAGCTTGAGCAGTTGCCGAATATTCTGGAATGACCAACCGAAGGTTGTCAATAATTTGAAACCTATCCTGATCCAGGCAGCCCCAGAACGCTTTCGGTGAGGCGCAGCTGCTGGAGAGCACCCCGCGGCTGGAAAGCCTTCAGGGACCGACGAAAACGCCCGAGAACCTCTAGGAACTGGCGAACCCACGCGGCGTGGTCACCACACCGTTTGGAGCCCTCCTCCTCCGCCTCCTCCACCTCCGCCTACTCCTCCTCCTCCTCCTCCTCCTCCTCCTCCTCCTCCTCCTCCTCCTCCTCCTCCTCTCCTCTCCTCCTCCTCCTCCTCCTCCTCCTCCTCCTCCTCCTCCTCCTCTTCCTTCTCCTCCTCCTCCTTCCTCCTCCTCCTCCTCCTCTCCTCCTCCTCCTCCTCCTCCTCCTCCTCCCTCCTCCTCCTCCTGTCCTCCTCCTCCTCCTCCTCCTCCTCCTCCTCCTCCTCCTCCTCCTCATCTCATCATCATCATCATCATCATCATCATCATCATCATCATCATCATCATCATCATCATCATCATCATCATCATCATCATCATTATCATCATCGTCATCGTCATCGTCATCATCATCATCATCATCATCATCATCATCATCTCATCATCATCATCATCATCATCATCGTCATCGTCATCGTCATCGTCATCATCATCATCATCATCATCATCATCATCATCATCATAATCAGCATCATCATCATTATCATAATCATCATCATCATCATCATCATCATCATCATCATCATCATCATCATCATCATCATCATCATCGCCATCGTCATCATCATCATCATCATCAGCATCATCCTTCTCCGCCTCCTTCTCCTCCTCACTCCTCCTCCTCCTCCTCCAACTCCTCCTCCTCCTCATCATCATCAGCATCATCATCAGCAGCATCATCGGCATCATCATCATCATCATCATCATCATCATCATCGTCATCATCATCGTCATCATCACCATCATCATAAACATCAACATCATCATCATCCTCATCATGATCAGCATCATCACCAGCAGCATCATCATCAACAACAGCATCCTCATCACCAAGAATCATCATAATCATCGTCAGCAGCATCATTGTCAGCATCATCAGCATCAGCATGACCAGAATCAGCATTAGCTTCAGCATCATCAGCATCAACATCATCATCATCAGCATCATCAGCATCATCATCATCCTCATCATCATCCTCATTTTCATCCTCATCCTCATGCTCCTCCTCCCCACCCTCCTCCATCTCCTCCTCCTCATCCTCACCCTTCTGATTCTCCTCCTCAGTCCTCCTCCTCCTCCTCCTCATTCCTCCTCCTCCTTCTCCTCGCTCCTCCTCCTCCTTCTCCTCCCCGTTCCTATTCCTCCTTCACGGTCCTCCCCCTGACTGCCCCCCTCCCCGCCGCGCGCTCACGGCCTGCGCGTCGCCTCTGGCGCCGCATCCGGCGCAGCCGCACCTGTCGCCTCCGCCGCGCCGGCGCCTAGCAGTCGGGAAGTTCGGGCGTCGTCGACGTCGACGTCGTCATCGCCGCCGCCGTCGCCGACGCCGTTGGATCGACTACGGCGTCCATTGTCGGCGTCGTCGTCGCCGTCGACGCCGTCGTCGTGCTCGTCGTCGTCGCCGACGCCCTTGTCGTAGGCGTCCTGGCCCCTGTTGGGTTTCCAGAAGTCTGGCGGCCTCCAGAAACCTCCAGACGTCGACGTCCTCCTCCTCCTCATCCTCCTCCTCCTTCTCATCCTCCTCCTCCTACTCCTCCTCCACTTCCTCCTCCATTGCTGTCTGAAAAAGAACTCCCCCCTAGCGCACCCCGAGACGTGTCGGTAGTGCGGGCCGGGCGTTTCGCCTGCGACCTCCTCACCACTTATGAACCTGAAGCTTAAAATGTTCAACAGGTGGTGGAGGGCGGGAGGTTTTCAAAAGGTAGCTCTCGCCTGAGCGCCGCGCACGTTCTTTTTGTTGGAAGTCACGTCAGCCCTTTGTGCCAAGATGGTCGATGTATCGATCTACATATATATATATAGAGAGAGAGATCTCTCTCTCTCTCTCTCTCTCTCTTATACGGAATGGAAGCTCCCTTCGGGGAGAGGACCTTCCCCCTCCCCTCCTTGAGGTGTCTTGGGGCGCGCCGCGATCGGTCAAAGCACCCAAGATGGCCCAAGATGGCTTCTAAGAGATCCTCCGATGCTCCAAGATGGCCGCCAGCGCGGCTCAAGATTGCCAAAGTTTGTTCAAGATAGCTTCCGATATACCTCCAAAAGGCCAAACGAGGGCCACAATACGGTTCCAAGTGCTTTCGGAACCCCTGGAGATTGCCCCAAGAGGGCCAAATCTGCCAAAAATCCAGAAGAAAGTAAATGATTTGGGCATTCTCGCCTTTTCGCTTCCGATGCGCTTTTGCGGCCTCAAGATTGCCTCAAAATGTCCCAGGGGAGCCCCAAGTCGGCTCCAGGAGCGCTCGAGAACGCCCCAAGAGCGTCCCACGAGGGCCTCAAGAGGCATGTTTGCTTTCTCCTCCTCCTCCTCCTCCTCCTCCTCCTCCTCCTCCTCCTCTCATCCCCCCGCGGGCGCAAGGGATGGCCCGAAGAGGCCCTCCAAGGCCACCCCTTGCTCCCTTTCCGCGTCCTCTCTCTTGGCAAGGTGTTTCTGAACGGGCTCGTGAGGATACGCGACGCAAGAAAAAATTGCAAGAGATTCAATGATGGAGGGCGGAATGGTTTCAAACTGTGGCTCTCGCCATAGCGCCGCACACATATGTCTTCAAGGTTTGCAAGAGCTTGACGGATGAAGGGCGGGTGGTTCTCAAAATATGGCTCTCGCATTTGAGCCGCGGACTGTCGTCTTGGCATGTTGCAAGAGCTTGACGGATGAAGTGGCTTATTTTCAGCATGTGGCTCTCGATTTAGTGCCCCGAACATTCGTCTCAAAAGTTTGCACGGGCTTGACGGAAGTAGGGCGGATACTTCTCAACATGTGGCTCTCGCCTCAGCGCCGCGGACACTCATCTTGAAAGTATGCAAGAACTTCATGGGTGGATAACGAATCGTCAACAAAATGTGCCTCTCGCCTTCGCGCCGCGCCATTCGTCATGAAAGTGTGCAAGAGCTTCACAGATGGAGGGCGATTCCTTTTCAAAATGTGGCTCTCGCCTCGGCGCAGCGCACACCGTCCTAAAGTGTTATTGATCAACATGCCGCTCTCGCCTTGGCGCCTCGCACATTCATCTCAAACCTCAGAACAACTTACGAGTTCTTGTGGCTGACGTATACAGAACTGTGTTCTAGCCCGAAACTTGAATCAGGGCGCAATAGTCACGTGCGCTCGCTGTGTCCAGGTCCAAAGACTGGTGTTTCGGCACGATGCAGGATCACCGGGACGCAACAATAAAGCTGAGTCGAAGCGCTGCAGTTGACGGCGCAGGGAAATTGGAGGGAGGGTGTATTGCAGCATCGTTGATGCTCTTGGGTTTACATGGGTCCTCATCCTCCCCGTTGTCGCCATCGCCGTCACTCTTCGTCACCCCCGTCGCTACCTTAGACGTCATCACCGTCATCGTCGTTACCACCCACCGCCTCGCTCTCCGCTTCCTCGTCATCCACCTCCTTCCCCTGGCAGGAACAGCGAGGGGAGTGGAGTGGGATAGAGAGAGAGAGAGAAAGAAGGGTTGCGGCGTCTGCTGCACTTGCTGCTCCTCCTCCTGATCCTCCTACTCCTCCTCCTCCTCATCATCATCATCATCCTCCTTCTCCACCTCATCCTCATCCTCCTCCTGCTTCGCCTCCGTTCTCACCCATCATCACCATCATCGCGACACTCATTCGTCACCATCATCGCCATCACAATAATCATCATCATCCCGATCAGCACGGCCATCGCCACCGTCACAGTCGCCATCCCCATTATCGTCTTGCTCTATATCATCGTCATAATCAGAATGGTCACCACCAATAATCCTCATAATCGCCATCCTCATCATCATCATCATCATCATCATCATCATCATCATCATCATCATCATCATCATCGTCATCGTCATCATCAGCATCATCATCATTATCAGCAGCAGCAGCAGCATCGTCATCATCGACATCATCATCATCATCATCATCAGCAGCAGCAGCTGCATCATCATCACCATCGGCATCATCATCAGCATCATCATTATCGCCGTCACAATCGTCATCATCACCATCATGAGCAGCAGCATCCTCATCCTTACCATCACCATCATCATCATCATCAGCATCATCATCATCATCATCATCATCATCATCATCATCGTCATCACTATCCTCATCAATAACAGCACCATCGCCCTAATCATCGTAAGCAGCAACAGCATCATCATCATCATCATCATCATCATCATCATCATCATCATCATCGCCGTCGGTATCCTCATCATCATCATGAGCATCATCATCAGTATCAGTATCATTGTCATCATCATCATCATCGTCATCATCATCATCATCGTCATCATCATCATCATCATCATCGTCAGCATCATTATCATCATCAACATCATCATTACCATCGTCATCAACACCATCATCATCAACATCATCAGTGGCCGCAAGACCACCCTGATCATCACAAACGCAATCATCATCATCAGCAACAGCATCACCAGCATCATGAGCATCATCAACGTCGTTGCCATCCTCATGATAATCAGCAACACCCCCACCCTCATCATCATCATGATCATCACCATAATCAGCAGCATCATCCTCATCGTCATCGTCATCACCATCATCATCGTCTCCGTCGTCATCATTCGCATCACCGACACCCCCCTCATCATCGTCATCATCATCATCGTCATCATCATCATCAGCACCATTAGCATCACCACCACCCTCATCAGCATCATCATCAGCATCATCATCATCTTCATCATCAGCATCAGCATAAATATCAGAATCAATGATCATTTGCATCATCATCGTCATCATCATCATCGTCATCATCAACTTCGTCATCAGATTTATCATCGTCATCATCATCGTCATCATCACCACATTCCTCATCACCATCATCAGCATCATCTCCTCAGCCTCATCATCATCATCATCATAATCAGCAGCATCATGCCCATCATCAGCGTTATCGTCATCATTCTCAGCATCGTCTCCGTCATCATCATTCGCACCACCGACACCCATTCATCGTCATCATCATCGTCATCATCATCGTCATCATCATCGTCGTCATCATCAGCATCGTCGTCATCATCATCAAAATTATCATCAGCAGCATCACCACCACCCTCATCATCATCATCATCATCATCATCATCAGCATCATCATTATCATCAACATCGTCATCAATGATCATCATTGCAACCATCGTCATCATCATCGTCATCAACAACATTGCCATCAGTTTATCATCATTATCGTCATCAGCATCATCTGCATCATCATCATCTCCATCCTCATCAGCGTTACCATCTCCTCCGCCTCATCATCATTATCGCCAGTATCAGCATCATCAGCATCATCAGCGTTATCGTCATCATCGTAATTATCGTCAGCATCACCACCACCCTCAGCATCATCATCACCGTCATAAGAATCAGAATCATCATCATCAGCAGCATAAGCAGCATCGTCAGCCTCCTCATCATCATTCGCCTCACCACCACCCGCCTCCTCGTCCTCGCCCTCCTCCTCCTCATCATCATCATCATCCTCAGTCTCCTCATCATCAGCATCATCATCATCGTTATCAGCATCACCATTAGCATGACAACAAACATCATCATCATAATCATCATCAGAATCATCATGATCATAAAGAGCATCGCCATTAGCAGCGTCATGATCATCATCGTCGTCAGCATGATCATCGTTATCAGCATTATCATCACCATCATCCTCATCATCATCATCATTAGCGACATCATCAGCAGCATCACCACCAACCCCAACGCAATAAGCATCATCATCTGTATCGTCGCTATCGCCGTCATCATCAGTATCGCCATCACCATCAGCATCATAGTCATATTCATCATAATCATGCTAGTCAACATCAGCGTCACCATCATCAGCAGCAGCATCACAACCAGTATCATAATCATCATCGTCATCATCATCGTCAGCATCGTCATCAGCATTATCAGTGTCATCAGCACCGTCGTCTCCATCACCATTGCCATCACCACAACCAGCGTCGTCCTCATCATCATAATAATCATCATCAGCATCACCACCATCATCCAAATCACCATCATCATCAGCATCATCATCGTCATCGTCATCGTCATCCTCATCATCATCATCCCCATCACGCTCCTCCACATAATAAGCATCGTCATCATCATGCTCACGATCGTTACCACCAGCATTCGCATTACAACCACCTCCAACAAATCATCAGCATCAGCATCAGCATCAGGATAAACACCACCCTCCTCGTTGTCCTCCTCATCCTCCTCGTCGTCATCATAATCACCAGCATCATCACCATCATCGTCATCATCAGCATCAGCATCACCACCACCCTCATCATCATCATCGTCAGCATCATCATCATCAGCATCAGAAGCATCATCAGCAGCATCACCACCACCCTCATCATCAGCATCATCATTTTCTTCATCGTCGGCATCAGCATCAGCATCATCAACATCATCATCATAGTCATAAGCAGTATCATCAGCATCGTCATCATCAGCAGCCGCAGCATCATCGGCATCAGCATCATCATCAGTGTCAGCATCATCATCATTATCATCACCAGCACCACCAGCCATCATCATCACACGAACCAGAGTATCGTCGTCGTGGCCCTCATCATCGCCATCATCCGCCGAATGTCTTCGAGACGTGCGGCGCGCCTGCGTCAGCGCCCTCTTCAGCTCTCTCCTGGGCGGCAGAGCCAGAGGAAGTATCCACACCATGCAATGTACCGCTCGGTCCCTTTGTCCTTCCCCGCAGCCCCCCATTGTTCTTCCACCTCCTCCTCCAATATCTGCCTCCTCCTGCCTCTGGTTTTCATCCCTTTGTTCCCCATGCCTGAAGTAATCCTCCTTCTGCTCTTTCTTTTGCAGCTGTAGCACTCCCCCTTCCATCCCCTCCCTGCTCTTTCGATTGACCCCTCAACCATTATCCCCCAACCTCTTTACGCATCCTACTCCTACTCCTCCTCCTCCTCCTCCTCCTCCTCCTCCTCCTCCTCCTCCTCCTCCTCCTCTTCTCCCTGCTGCTCCTGAGGTGCTCCTGCTCATCATCTTCCTCCTCATCCACCTCCCCTGTTTGTTAACCCTACCGCTCCACCTCACGGCAGAATGGCACTATGCACTGTGCTCCAATCCTCCTCTTCCTCCTCCTACTCCTCCTCCTCGTCCTCCTCCTCCCCCTCCTCCTCAACCTCCCCCTTTCTGCAACCCCTGCATCTCAGGGAACACTGGCCCTGCGCACCATGCTCCCCAAGTGGCTGGTTGCTCGTTGTCCCTTGGGGCCGAAAACCACTGACGCAGACGAGCACGGCCGAGCAATGATGCAACTCGGGAGGGCGTGCGCAGGTCCGACGGGTAGCCTAAACCTGTCCCTCCTCCTCTTCAACCCACTCTTCCTCTCCTTCATGATCCTCCTCCTTCTCCATATCCTCCTCCTCATCCTCCTCGTCCTCCTCCTCCCCCTCCTCCTCACCCCATGTTTCCCCTCCCTCTCTCCTCCTCCTCCTCCCCCTCCTCCTTCCCCTTTTCCTCCTCCTCCTCCTCCTCCTCCTCCTCCTCACCCTCCTCCGCCTCCTCATCATTCCCTTTCGTTTCCACCCCCTCATCCCCAACGATAAAGATGGTATGAAGAAAAAATGGGGAGGAAGAGGGAAAGGAGGAGGAGCAGAAGGAAGTAGTGATAGGATTATTTGGAGTGATGGCAGGGTTCTGATGCAGTTGTTCGAAGGATCGGGCCAGGGATCGCTCCTCCATGTTTGAAGCTACGCTAACTCAAGGACAGGGCATGAAGCGAAAAGATTCAAGAAACAAAGAACGCCGACTCACGTAGGCGGAATGCGAACCGGATGTAAGCTGGCTGGCGCGGCCAAGCGGGACGGGCAATGAAAACAGGAAAACAAGAGGGCCCTCATGGGGACAGAGCGGTGTGAGAGGAGGTACCGATCGAACGGCATAGAACCTTAATGAGTAGCAGACCGAGGAGAACACTGATCGCGGGAGAGTTCGGAATACACGTGCAAGCTGGCCTGCTGATGCTGGGCTGTATCGCCATCCATGGCTTCAATGAAACAAAGGAGTGGCTAGACTGCACCTTACAGTGACTGAAGCTGATGCAGTGTAGGAGACCCCATCCCACACAATCCCGAACCTCAATACAATCCAGACAGACCGTTCCTCCTGCTCCTCCTGCTCCTCCTTCTCCTCCTCCTACTCATGCTCCTCCTCCCCCTCCTCCTCGTCCTCCTCCTCCTCCCTCCTCATGCTCATCATCATCACCACCACCACCACCACCCCGATCATCATCGTCATCATCATCATCATCATCATCATCATCATCATCATCAGCATCATCATCATCATCATCATCATCATCATCATCATCATCATCATCATCATCATCGTCGTCATCATCATGTTCATCATCATCATCATCATCATATCAGCCTCTCCACGATAATTATCATCATGATCCTCATCATCATCGTCATCAGAATCATCATTAGCATCACCATCTTCATCGTAATCGTGATCACCATGATCATCATCATCATCATCATCATCATCATCATCATCATCATCCTCAGCTTTGTCATCATCATCCTCATCAGCATCATCGTCATCGTCATCATCATCATCACCATCATCATCAGCAGCATCAGCATCAGCATCACATCATCACATACTCAAACAACACCTTCCCCCACCCCCATCAGACTCCCATTCAGTGCCCTGGTTCATCACACTCCTGCACTTCATCCTCCTCCTCCTCCTCCTCCTCCCCCTCCCACTTGCCCCATCCTCCTCCTACTACTACTACGAATACCACTACTACTACTCCTTCTACTCCTCCTACTACGACTACTACGACTACTACTACTACTACTACTACTACTACTACTACTACTACTACTACTACTACTACTACTACGACGACTACTTCTACTACTACTACGACTACTACGACTACGACTACACTACTAATACTACTACTACTACTACTACCACGAACTTACTTCTACTATTCTACTACTAAACCACTACTACTACTACCACCACCCACCACCACCAACCCACCACTGACCACTACCACGACCCCTACCACTACCCTACCACTTACCACTACCACTTACCACTACACTACTTACTCATTACTACTGACTACTTACGACTACTTCTACTACTACACTACTTACTACTACTAATACTACTACTACTTACTACTAATACTACTACTACTACTACGGACTACGATACGACTACGACTACGAACTTACGACTACGGACTACTACTACCTTTCTACTACTACTACTATACTACTACTACTACTTACTACTAATTACTACCTACTACCACTACCACTACTACTTACTCGAATATACTACTACTAACTTACTACGACTACGACTACTACTAGTACTACTACTACTAATACTACTACTACTACTACGACGACTACTACTACTACTACTACGATACTACTACTACTACTACTACTACTACTACTACTACTACTACTACTACTACTACTACTACTACTACTACTACTA